ATATATATATAACATGTATGTATGTATGCATGCGTATATATATATATAGAGATAGATAGATAGATAGATAGATAGATAGATAGATAGATAGATAGATAGCCTGTACTTGTACAATCACAGGAAGGAAATCTGCTGTACTCCAAGAAACATGGGGAGTGTGGGAGAAATAAAGGTCGGAAGGGCAGTGCGGCGGAGACATGTGAAAAGGCTGGACGACAAGAAGTCATGGGATTCGAGGAGCTTTCGACCGACACCGTGGCGGAAGCACAAGCTTGACCACAGAACTCTTATCATATAGTAATAATATTATGGTCTAATATATTGTATTTATATCATTCTTTAATAATATATTATAGATTCTCGCTATGCCTGGAGGAGCTTCAAGGAGGCGGAGAGCACCTCGTGCATGTCGGCCCAGAAGCCCTGGCGCCACAAATTGCTCAAATTTAGGGATCTCCCACCAGGGCTTTTTGGGGTTGAGGCCACGCAAAAAGGCACCTCTAAACCCTAAACCCTAAAACCCCTAAGAACCTTAAAGACCCTAAACCCAAAAAGGGGGGGGAAAAAAGGCGCGCCTCCTCGGCCTCGGCCTGCAGAGCTTTGGCCTCGGCGGCCCGGACCTCGGGCAGCGGAGAGACAAACGCGGCCGCGGGGAGTCCGCGGGAAGCCGGGCGCGCGCGCGCGCTCGCGTTTTTTTGTCTGGGCGTGGGCAGAGGATGGGATGTGGGTGCTTCTAGGGTGCAGGGTTGATAGGGCCTGATAGGGTTTACAGGGTTTAGGGTTTAGGGCGGGGCAGAGAGAAGGGGATGGTGAGAAAATGTGGGTTTGGGGCCTCCATGGGGATCCTCATCGAGTTTTCGTCGCCATCATCGCTGAGTCCTCGGTGCCTGCTGCAACGCTGAGGCCCGAGCCGTGGCCAAGTCGCCACGAAGGAAGAGAAGGAGCCGGTCCTGGAGAACTGTGGCCAGCTGGTCAACTAGTTCAAGTTCAGGCGCAAGGCACGGCGCAACTGACGCAGAGCACGATCGGTCTCCAGGTGGTCTCCGCCCAGCTCAGTAAACTGCAAGGTCACGAAGCGCACCTTTCCCAAGCTGGGCCAAAGGTAATCTCGGGCTGTATAACCAGAGTCGAATCCTTTTGAGGCCTGGCCTGCGGGTCGAAGTTCAGGAACTCCGGGGCCTGACTGCGGCTCTGAGCTCCGACTTCTCCAAGCGGGGGTGCTCCGGGCTGGCCCCGGGGTGCGCCTCCTCCATGCGGCTGGGGTCCCACAAGCCAAACCTGCCAGCATCTCGCACCAAGGAGGACCCGCGGACCTTCCCCCGCTTCCTTCCCTTTTGCTTCCTGGGGCCTTCACTCTTGCGCGAAGAAAGCGAAGTTCTCCACGCTCAGCCTGTCGAGCTGACAGAGGACAGGTAAAAAGGATGGCTTGGATCTGGGCCGTCGGCATGACGAGACCTCGCGCGATGTCGGTGTCCATGAAAGGCAGCTCGTCCCTGGCAAGACAGCAGCCAGCCACCGAGCTCTCTGTCAGAGCCATCCAGAGCCTCACGAGGCTCAGCTGGTTGAGGTCCTCCTGCGCTAATGTGGCTTTCTGCTCGCCCTCTCCGCTCGCTTCTGCCCTGAACGCTGTGGCGGGCCTGCCCCTGCAGCCAGCTCTCGGGCACCATGCGAGTGTTCAGGAAGGAGCCTCGACTTCGGATCCGGGAGCTCCCCGAAGGCCCTTGCCAAAGGCTCTGGGGGAGGGACTGGAGAGGATCGGAAGCAGCGAAGACCTCGGCTCAGGCGCAAAAAAAAACGCGACATGCGACGTCTTGAAGTCTTAGGCTCTCGCTTCTACGGCATATGTCGAGAAGATGGGGCTCAAGCTTGTGACCCTACGAGTCCATAACACGGACAGTTCCAACGGTCTGGGGCTCAACGAACCAATGTTGGGGGCTTGCGCATCGCAACACCGACAACGTCGAACCCTGCATAGCTTGCACTTCCCAAAGGACATGTCATTGTCATTAAAGGACCTTGTTCAAGAAGGCTGACACGAGGCCCGCACAGCTGCATGAAGCCAGCGTTGCCTCGTCGGCGGCCATCACGCTAAAGGGGAAGGCTCGTGGCTGACTTCAGGCAAGCGGCCGTTGCGGCAGAAGCTGTGCAACATCGTGGATTTGCCAGCATTCCTGGCCGAGTGCTGAACCCAACGACACGATAGGCCAACATGCGGCCCTTGACATCAATGGTGTCTGATTGGCTGGTCCCCTAAGAGAACAAAGCTCCGGACCTGTGGCAGTTCAAGACGAGGAATCACCCTCCATGCCTTCCATAATTGACGCACGCAATTCTCTGAGATCCATGCGGCACAGCCGGCGCCAAGCCTCAGAGCAGCTGGTGCCCTGAAGGAAAGTCCCAAATCCAAAACGAGTCGCCCTGAGTCTCGCGGCTCAGGCTGCGCAACTGCCGTCTCCAAGTCGATCTCGGGGACCTGTCACCGGCCACGCGCCAGAGGTTGCATTCTCCCTTCGCTCTCTGCGGTGCCTCCTCGTCATACAAGTCGGGGTGCTTGTATGCCTCGTGATACGCAGGCTTCAGTCTGAGGACATGAAAGTCATCCCGCAGGCCCGCACACACCGCTGCTCCAAGCCGAAGCGACCCCGTACGATGGGCGGGACCTACGACAACATTTCACTCTCTCTCCCTGGAGCTGTTGCTCGTGCTTCGGGCTGCTTGGAGCCAGGCTCCATCGACGACTTCCATGGCTGCTCAAGCCCATCCATTCTGTGCTGAGAGCAACTCAATGGACCTTGACACCCGCATGGCTGGGCTATGCTGGGCTACAGGGTTGAGCCCCGTTGCTCTCAATGTGCTGTCGGTCGTGCGACTGCTGAGACTTCCCTGTTGCCACCGAGGGCAGCTCCTGCAACTGCTCTGACTACTGTGGCCATGTAGCGTAATTAGCCTGGCTCACACTGGCTGGCGTTGCTGCGATTCTTCTTGGAGGTGCGTGTTGTTGCTTCCCGGGTGACCACTTTGTGATATCACAATGCTTTGAATACATCGTCTGTTGCTGAGGACAAAGATAAAGGTATTCTGTCGCTTTCTCCATAGACAACTGAGGATCTGCCTACCAGTACAAGTAGATACCATGTCGCCAGCATGTGCGTGCCTGAAAGCCGATAACCTTCCCAGAAATCCAGTGGCCCTGTGACGTCAAGTGCACATGTACACAACATGCAGGCCCCGGTAGGTCCTTCAGGGTCCGTGGTTGGGGCTGGCTAACGGATCCTTCGAGGCATTGGCTGAAGGATTTCTTTGCCTTGCGGGGCTTGGCTGAAGGAGTCTTTCTGTGGGTGGTGCTTTCGGATCCTTCTATCGCATCAAAATGATGGAGGCTGAAGGATCTTGGGAAATCCTTCAGCTCCTGTGGGGTTGCTGCCCGCAAAGATGCCCCAGACAAGACGATCTTTCGAGCGGCCGCTTGAGTTCGCATCCGCGTTGCAGCACTTCGATGCACTGGTCCTGTAGGGCACTCGATCGCCCAAGCTGCGCCCATTTTGGTGGCAGCTCAATGCTGAAAACACGAACAGCGTCTACAGATTTGCTAATGCTGCAGGCTCGCTACTTAGATCTACTTAGCTTCTTAGAGTCAGTCACTTCTTCAAAGTCCTGACGAGCTTCTTCGACGAATGACGATACTATCCCGGTTTGGCGGGTGTAGCCTCTGAGCACCTCGCTTTGGAAGCGCCCACAAGATTTGCACTGTGCTGCTGGGGAGCAAGTCTTCCCGGTCCCTTCCATCTGCTGGCCGCAGTAGAAGAACTGGTCAGTAAGCTTCTCGCCATGATTGACCATTGATCCCTCATCGTTGAAACACCAGAACATACTGGTCGGGCCTGTGTTGCGAGAGTCTGCCATGCGCTCCTCCAGGTCTGGAAACTTTCGCTTCCACTGGGTCAAATAATTCGACAAGCCTTGGCGACCGAACCACTTGCACATGTCTGCCAGGCTGAGGCAGACCTTGTTGCACAAGTCTTCAACAGCCTGATGGACATGCGTCGCTGCTCCCAGCAACTCCAAGATCTCGCTTAGTTGCGGACGCAGGCCGTCAAGGACCTCTGACAAAGCTGCTTCAGCCTTCGAGGCATCCAAGTACAGCTCAGCTTCCTCCGCCATGGTCTCCGCGAGCTTCTCTGCCGCCTGGGCCAAGTTGCTGAAGCTCACCGAGCGGCTGTCCGCCAGGAGGGCCAAGAAGCCCCATCGCCGTTCGGGGCTCTCATGCCCATAGCCATCGGTTTTGAAGCTGATGGCGATTGGCTTCTTTCCCACCTCCACCTCTACGGGTTCTGCCGACCAGGGGCCTCGGCCAGAGAAGTTCGAGTTGCGCATCACGACTTCGGCATACGAGTCATAGGTGCAACTGCAAGGTGCGAAGGCTACCAGCACCTTGGGTGCCTCCACGTCCACACTGATTTCGTATTCGTGGCCTTGTGCAGCGTAGGGATGGCAGCTCTGGACCAGTCGAACTCCCTCCGGGAGCTTACGGCTTTCGACGAGAAGTGCCAGCTGGTCGCAGGCGTGGTAGCGCATCCTGCCTTGCGACAAAGAGTAGTCCTTGCTTGCCTTCTCTACAGCCGCATGCATGGTCTCCAACTTGGCCAAAGCTTCTTTGAGAAGCTCCATGCGAAGGTCTGCCAAGCAAGGGCCGACCTCAGCCAGGATCGGCAACGCAAGCTTCCTGGCCTCCTGCGAGACCGACTCGCGAGACCTCACGGCACAAGCGATCTCTTCCAGCCAGGCATCAAAGACCTTCTGAGGCGAAGTGGACTTGGCCTCTTGCACAAGCTTGACAACTGGCTCGGACGGCAGTCCGATGCTTTTAGCGACTTCCTTGTTGCCCAGCTCCAACCACGTAGAACGACCGAGAGAAACCAACACGAAATGGAGCAGCTCCGCCGCCTGCTGAACACCACCAGAGAAAGCATACCCCTTCATGATCGATAAGAGCACGCGAAACAAGCGTGTCTGCTTGCCCTTGTTGGCTTCTCGAGTCTCTAACTCATGGCTGATTAGAAGTGCCTTTGCTTCCAGCTCCGCGGCGAGATCGCCCAGTTTCTCCGAGTTCTTGTCGGCTTGCATGGGCAAAACAGCCGCCGTGAAGCCATAGCGTTCTTCAGCTGAGCCTGCAGCGTCCGTGTCGAAAGTGAAGAGCAGGGCCTCTGTTCCCTCAAAGTCACAGGCCGTCCAGACTTGCTGGTCGCGGCCAGAGAAAACACGGCTGCCCTCCGCTGATGCTGTTCTTGAAGCCCTCCTGGATATGGATCCGCGCGAAGGCTGGCATGGAGTGATTGTCAAGGAGCTCTTGCTGTTCAACGTGGCGCTGGCAGAGCTGAAGACCACAGTGAGCCCCTTGGCACCGGGCACTGCTACGATCTCGCGCATGCTTTGTTGGTAAGGATGGCCGGACGAAACGAAGAGGACCCGCTGATCTGCCTCTTTCTCTGCTGTAGTTTGGCTCTTGTGCCAATACTGAATTTCCTCGGTCAGCTGCTCCAGCTCCTCCTTCTTTTGCAGCAAAGGCTGCAGCAATGCTTCATCTCGTGCTAAGACGAGAAACGGAAGAAGATCCAGCTGCATGTCCTCCAACTTAGCAGCCTGCAGCAAGAGTTCCCGGAATGCAGCGTTTGCAAACACCTCCTCGGTCTTGTCTCCCTGTTGCCGCAAACTGTTCAGGAACATCATGCAGCGTTTCTTCTCTGCTTGGCGCTGAGCTTCATTCAAGACGTGACTGGACAGTCTCTTCATGCAGAATTCGAAGAAATCACAGAGCAAGGACATGTTCCCCTCTTTCACGACCATATTGACTGCGCGATTCTGGACGTCCGCGTCTACGGAGTAGCACGCGAGCGTCCTGGCCAAAAAAGAACCCAGCGGGAAGCTGAAACGGTGCGTTGGGCAATGCCTCCAGTACTCAACGCACGGTATCTTGCAAACTTGCAAACAAACCCTATGCGATTCCTCTCATTCAGGAGTTAACTAGCTGCAGGGCTGGCTGCCTCTCTCTATATGCTCGTAGACACCATGAACATGCAATATGGGCACGCTCCCAGCCTCACTGCCGAGCTGTCTGCATCTGCAGCCGACGACTTGAGCACATGGTCCGCTAATAGTCCAGCTGCGCGAGACTTGAGTGCAGTCGACTGCAAATTCTAAGCCATCTGCAGCACTGAAGACATCGTCCGCCAGCGTCTTGATGTCGCGCAGTTCGGAAGGCATCTCTCCACTTTCTGCTGCGATCCTACTTCGAGAAATGTAGCACTCGACACAGTAGTCTGTATTGCAAACTCGACACCGCAGGCTCATCTCCAGCACAGACTTGCCAGCGGACCTGCGGCACGCGTCGCAGTTATAGTTGCTGTCGAATCCGAAGAAGCGCTCCAGATCATGCCCGTGCATGCACTTGAACGGAGAAGCTTTATCCAGCGCCTTCTGCGCATCTTCGCAGTCTTCACATTGACCACCAATGACGGGACCACACTTGAAGGATGAGGCTCTGTCACAGCCACAATAGCACATACCCCATAGACCAAGCTTTCTGCCACCTGTCAATATCTCGGACACTTCTGGTTTATCTGGTGGGACAGGCGCCAGTGCGCTGTATCTATACTCCCCTGTACACAACTTACACAACCATCCGCACGAAGTCGATCCAGATCCGGGCTCAGGTGTCGGTGCGTGAAGGGGTTCCGTGCTCCAGCTGCTGGAGTGCCGCATCTTCTCCATGCCATCAGCCAAACTCTTGTAGCGCTTGCTGAAATCAATCAAAGGTTCTGCCGGCAAGTGCGGCAAGCAGCCATCTCGAACCAACACTGAAACATGCCTAAGGTCATCGAGCACATGACTCAGTCGCTGATCGTTTGCCGCGTGTGTGAAGTGATGCCGCAGGAGCCTCTCGACCGAGCTCATCCTGCCGGGAATCTTGGAGACAGGCTTGCTGAACACGAGTTTGACAATCTTTGTATTGGACTTGCGAACATCTTGAACGAGATGCTTCAGCTGACTACCCAGAACAGACTCTCCGTAGCCAACGGACGTGATATCGCCACCACCACAGAGGTGCCAACCTTGGATTGATACGTTCTGCGCCCAGGACTGGGGGACCTCGACATTTTGCTTGTCACTGATTTTTGAGCTGATGTGCTTCTGCAGCTCGATCACTTGAAAGACGGGGACGTTGAACTCTTCAAAGTGCAGCCTGTCTGCCTTGCCATAGATTGCATCGACGATTGCTTCCGCAATCAGCTGTACCATCCCCACCTCTGCGCGGGACGGGTGAATACCCATCCTGAACCGCATCTTACGCATCTCTTCCCGTGCATCCTCGCTCAGCATCTCTGCATACCCTTTGTGGATCACAACCACAGCATGTTGGTGGCAGGCCAGAAGCACTGTGTTCGCAAGGTGGAACTGAAAACGCCTGTCGCCTTGCCGCCACTGGCAACGCTGAATGTGAAGCCAATAAGCACACACAGGCAAGGCGATGCTCCCAAGCAGTCCGCCCAGAACCGTCACCAGTCCAACCGCTCCGGAGACGAAGTCGACGTTGGACAGGAGAGCTAGCGACAAGCCGTCCTCCTTCGTCCCTTCCTTCAGTTGCACGATGATCTCCGCCACCATAGTGTTGAGGCTGAACGGCGAGGCGGCTTCGTTGAGGAAGGAACAGCATAGTAGCGACCAAGTGATGAGGAGCCAAAGGCACTTCTGGCACATGTGCGTGGCGAAATCCGAGGGTATGGAAGTGAAATCGCTCATGTCATCGTGCTCCTGGCTGGGCCGAGTGACGGCGCCGCTCCACAGCATCACCTGCCACGCAGGCACCACCAGCATTGCCAAACCCAAGCCGAAGGCACCTGCCATCGTCGTCACCAGGACAAAGCCAATAGCTCGCAGGTAGAAGGCAGTGTAATCTGGCACACCGTCGCTTCGCATCCAGGCGGCCCGACGTGCATGCAGCTGTTCGCCTTGCAAGGCCAGCACCCACTCCGTTGAGACCACCGAGTGCTCTTGCTGCTGAAGGCTGTCTACCAGCTGGAAGGTGTTGTTGAAGTCGCCGCCCTCCAGATAGCGCCGGCACTGCCTGGACTCCTCCGGGTTCTCTCTGTGCAGGAGCTTGACAGTGTTGCCTCGGAAGCTAAGCTTGATAGCAGTGGGACTACCCTCCACCGGCTCCCAGTCGCCCTCCAGCGCAAACGTTCCGACGGTGGTCTCCCAGAGCTCCGTGAAGCGGCGTAGCGAGGACCAGCCGCCGCGAGACACCACGAGTGCAAAGACCAGCGCAAGGCTAACGAGCCCGACGAAGTAGCACACCTTCCACGTGGTCACCACGCTGCTACACCGGATGCAGACTGCCAGGGTACATGCGACCGCTAAAGCTTCGCTCAGTCGGAAGATGCTCACCACGCGCAGGCTGCGCTGGGCCGCGAAGCTCTTGCGGCTGTAGTAGTCGTTGTGGGGGATCAAGGGAAGGCAGCAAGGGACGACGTCGCCATGTCCGCAGGGAACTTCTTCCTCCGCAGCCAACAGCTCGGCCGACATTGACACGTCGGTCATCACCGACTTCAGCGAGAAAAGCACCGACACCAGCAAGAAGCCCATATCCAAGGAACTGTTCAGCGGCACAGTCACCAAGCCGAAAATGCCCACAAGCAAGCTCAAGTAAGCTTCGCTGGCAGCTTCCCGGTATGCCTTCTCGTACAGCTCTGAGAGCAACATGCCCTTGCTCCATGATCCCCGGCATGCCTGGATAGTGTCGGATTGCAAGATAGCTGCAAGCAGCTTCTGCACGTCCCAGGCACCTTTCCGCAAAGAGTCTATCCAAAGCATGCTGATCTGCATGCCAACTCCCACGAAGATGATTGTGGCAAAGAAGGGCTGGCCAGCTCGAAAGAAGATCATGCTCTGACCCACGTCCATTGTGGTATCAAACCAGATGCCGACAGTGGTTACGAAGACTTCTTTGTAGGCGACCCACGTGTCGGGGATGCAACCGAATTGGAACTTGTCCGGCTTCGGTCCTTCCACAGTGGGAACGGTTGCGTGCATGCTCAAAGTGTAGCCGTGAAGGATGGACAGAGCGCCGTACACAACACCCGCCGCAAGCGGAGCCCAGCCAGGTAGCCAGCCGAAAAGGAAGCTGGAGTATGCTTTGGAACAGGACCAGACCAAGCCATGCTTGGTGCTTAAGGCCCACAGGCATATCACCAGCAAGTTGATTAGAAAAAACACAAGCGAAGTGATCTTCGACATCATCGAGCTTGTCTTCAAGCCATCTTGCACTATGTCCATAAAGACGAAGCTGGCATAGAATTGATTCGTCCACCGCTGAGTCTGCTGCAGAGCATTCGACGTCGCTTCGAAGAACGCCGTTGCCAGACTGAGAAGCACGAAGAAGATCAGCAACAACGCAATGTGGCAAGGCAGCATCGGTAACTGGTGCAAGTGCATCAGCCGCCTCACCTTCAGCGGCACATGAAGCCAGGGCTCTGCCCAGCTGTGCTGCTGGAAGAGCAAATCCTCGTGGTCCACCCAACCAGCGGCCATGATAGCAGCTTGCAGGACGCAGCAAAACCAGCAGTGCAAGACGACGTAGACAGCGAAGAAGACGCCTTTGAGTGCCAGCGCGATGCAACCGACGGACCGTCTAAAGCTTCCTGCATAGAAGCAGAAGGTCAACGGCGCTGGTGCCACCTCCCCTGAAGCCCTCTTCAACTTGGCAAAAAGACCCTGCACCTTGCTGCGAGCGGCTTCGAAGGACTCGGGACGGATGCTGACGCCGGAGCCCCAGGTGTCGGAGAGCACGCCGCCCCCACAAAGCTCAAGGAACACCTGTGTTCCGGCTTCGGCCTCCTCATCTGCCTCGAAAAGAATGACGTCCGCTTTCTGTGTAATGGCCAGATCGATGGCTTTGGCAAGTTTCTGCAGCTTCTCGCGATCATCCACGGTCCTCGACTCAAGGCAGCAGTGGGAAGCCATGCTGCCGATCACGACAGCCACGGCAAACAGCCAGATGCAGCTGTACCACTGCAGCAGCGCATGCCAGCCGCGAGTGAAGGGAAAGAACCGAACTGCAAAGCTGGAGCTCATCAGCTGCCTGTGCCATTCGCCCACGAAGCTTGCGAGGACGGCGTCGGACATGGCGTCGGAGCATTTCTGCCAACAAGGCTTGCCAAGCGCAAACGGCACGGTGTCCCTTGTGCCATTGACGAGGGGAGCACAGGCGTCTTGCCAAAGAAACGGAGATTCCTTCGCAGCTCCGAGGGGGACATCTCGGAGGTGAGCATCGCGTCGATCCCCTGCTAGGGAGACTGCCTGGCTCAGGCGCGCAGAAGAGATGGGCCCTGGATCTTGTGGGAAGCAAAGCAGGCAGAGCACTGCCGCGGCAAAGCAAAGAGCGGCCAGGACGTGCCATTTGGGCCGCGAGGCAGCTGGCGGAATCAAGAGCTCGTCTCGCAGATCCAAGTGCGGCCTCCAAGGTTGCCGCAGCCGCCACATGCTGTCAAGAGCCTACGCATTCCTTAAAACGGTCCTGAGCCGGGAGACATGGATGCGGCATGAATCTTCATCGGATCGAGAAGCCCAGCTCTGCAAGTCATGCGAACGCCTTGTTTTTGCACTCTGTGCAAGCCTGGTGGTTTGCCGTGCCCGCGGCATGCCCGGGCCCAGCGATGCCTGCCCGTGCAAGCCCCAAGGCAGGGAGGCATGGTGCCGATGACAAGCAGTGGATAGAAGATGCTTGAACCTTCAGCACTCCGACGGCACGACCAATTACCCAGACTTTTGAACAAGCAACATGCACTTCCATGATGCCAGCGACAATGAACCGGAGAGGTCAGGACTCAGGCACAACTGAAGCAGATGTAGAAATCGAAAGCCGGCAATGCAGCAAAGACACTACCGACTGGTGCCATCCCTTCAGTTTCGCTCTGCAAGTGGCCCCCATCAAATGAAACGGATAATGCCGCTCAACTTCAGAGGAGCACGGCCCCGAATGCGGATTAGCTCTGCAGCTGCTCGCTTTCGGAACAGCTGGCATTGCAGCATGTGGGCCTTCTTAGAGGATCGTAAAGCGAGCAGTGGATTGGAGCAGGCATCGCACCCCATTGAGTGACGTGGCAATAGCCCGTCCCCACGCAAGTGTAGCAAACGGAGCGCTGGAGGTGGTGGGTGTGGCGGTGGTCACATCCCTCGCAACAACACATTTCCAGTCTCCACCGACCCTCTGGATTTGGAACCAATGCCCCGACTTATGAATGCCTTCACACTGAGGGCACCCTAGACACTTCCTCCTAAATGCAGACATTGACATCGGGCTGCACCAACTCTATCGCGCACCTGTTTGCACTTGGAGCAACATTGCTGTCACCACCTGGACCTGTGCCTCGGCGAGAGAACATTCCTCTGTCTGGTCCCCAGCCGCAAGTGTCGACAATCCGTCAGCCATGATGTAGACCAATGTAGACAGTGAGCATAGCGAGCAGAAGTGTTCCCAAAGCTTTCTTGCGAGACTCCTGCAAGACTTCCTGAAAGAAAAGGGATGTTGGTGCTCGCTACTTTGTCTACTCTACGCTTCGCTTCTCTCGTCTGCCTTCCCTGCTGTTGGAGACCAGTACGCTACTCTGCTGTAGTCTGCTCTTCTTGTCCCGATGTTTCTCTCTTCCGGTTCTCAAGAACTGGCCTACTCACGACATTATGACTCTAACTGCATCTGAAGACGCAAGCCCAAACTGCCTGAGCTTGCGCCGAAGAACTCGTGGTGGGGAGACCACTGCCTCGGTTGGCAAAAAGCTCGGGTAGACTCCGAGGAACCAGTTGCGCTGCTTACCCCATCGCATTACTTTGGTGACTGTCACGATGCTACACTGCTGTTGATGCTCTGCGGCGGCCGGCAGTGGGAATACGATGGTCACGACTCTGGCGCGCCGCCGGTGCTTGTAAGGCCCACGCAATGTGAGGCCTCTGTAGCACTGGCCATTCTGGGCAGGCGATCGACCTTCAATCAGGAGCGGTGATCTATTGCAAGCACTTTGGAAGCCCGTGCTCGCATCTGAAGAATCGTTGTTTAGGCTAATATCGCTAAGTATGACAGCAGAGCGACGGCTTTAGGCTTGCCACCTACACTGCTGAGCGGCGTTTTCAGGTCGGTGCTACCAGTGCATGCGAATGACGCAGTTGACACATATTCATACATGCACAGGTACAACCTTTGGCTGGCAGATCTAGGCACCGCAACCCTGCAAAACATGCGCAAACCTACACCTCTTCTCCGTTCGATCTGTCGCGGAATCTGCAAAAATGCATGGCTTCAGCCACCCACCACACAGCTATGCCCACGAAGACATGTGCCAAACCCTTGCCGTCACCATCCATGACTGTTTGGGGTACAGGGCTCATCGTCGTTGTGATGTCGCATCGTCATCGTTGATCACCAGACAGTTGATGAGCATCATGTCAATCATGATATTCTACAGTGAGAGGGCAGGTTCCTGAAGTAGTTCAGGTGTGAGCAGTAAGCTCTCCAACCATTGCCCCACAATTATCGGTACCGTCATGATGATGAAACTGCTACTGCCTATCTTGTAAGTCTTGCTGCTGCTGCTGCTGCTGCTGCTGCGGCTGTACGGCAGCATAGGCGGCAGTGCTGCTACAGACAATACACGATGTGCCCCCTGCTAGACTTGAATTTTCTTGTGCAGGTACTACTTCTCTATGATGATGATGATGACGACGATTCCCTGATGACAATGAGTACCATGACATGGATGAGGAGGAGGAGGAGGACGACAACACACTTCTGCCACTTCTGCTGCCTCGTGTCGCAGGCCCTTGGGCAGCGATGCGGAGCCCCAGTGGGCTACTCAGGAGATGCTTCGATGAAGTATCACATTGTGTTGCAGGCATCAGGTGCTGCTGAGAAGAATCAAAGAGTCTGTCGATCCTTCCGGCTACGCTTAACAGCTGCGGCCATCTCATCGGACTTGCATTCCGATCTCCTATATCGATGTGCAGGCTGCAGGCTTTCCCTTTGCATGGTTGACGCTGCAATCCGCAGCTCTCGCGCTCAGCAGCAGTCGTGATGATACCATGAATAGGCACGACTGCATCCACGCTTGTTTTGAGCAGTCGAGCCGCTTGAGTTCAGGTCCGCACTGCAACACTTCCAGGCACAGCACGGCACTGGAACGCCCAAGCCGTGCCCATTTTTCGGAGACGGCTCAAAACATTGCCGAACGTCCACGAATTGGCTAGAGACGGCTAGTGTTGCAGGGTCGCTATTTAGATCTACTTAACTTCTTCGAGTCGGTCGAGTCAGTCACTTCTTCAAAGTCCTGACGTGCTTCTTCGGCGAATGACGATACTATCCCGGTTTGGCGGGTGTAGCCTCTGAGCACCTCGCTTTGGAAGCGCCCACAAGATTTGCACTGTGCTGCTGGGGAGCAAGTCTCCCCGGTCCCTTCAATCTGCTGGCCGCAGTAGAAGAACTGGTCAGTAAGCTTCTCGCCATGATTGACCATTGAACCCTCATCGTTGAAGCACCGGAACATACTTGTTTCGCTTGCCTTGCGAGAGTCTGCTATACTCTCCTCCAGGCTTGGAAACTTCTGCTTCCACTGCATCAAGTAATTCCGCAGCTCTGGGCCATCGAACCATCTGCACATGCCTGCAAGGAAGATGCACATCTGCCTGCATGTGTCTTCAACAGCTTGATGCATGCGCGTCGCGCTTCCCATGGATGCCAACATCTCCTCCAGTTCCGACACAAATCCCTCGTATGCCTGTCTGAATGCGGCCTCAGCTTTCTCGGCATCCAGGTACAGCTGGTTTGCGCAGGGAGCCTCCGTCGAAGCTTCTGACATCGTCTCCGCGATCTTCTCTGCCGCCTGGGCCAAGTTGCTGACGCTCACCGAGCGGCTGTCAGCAAAGAGGGCCAGGAAACCCCATCGCCGTTCGGGGTACTCACGCCCGTCGCCATCTGTCTTGAAGCCTACAGTCAGCTTCTTTCCCACCTCCAGCTCCAGAGGTTCCACCGACCACGGGCCTCCACCAGACAAACCCTGCGAACCTGGGATCGTCACTTCTGCCGCGGAGTCGAAGGTGCAACTGCACGGCGCGAAGGCGACCATCACCTCCAGAGGCTCGGAGGAGTCGGACTTCACGGTCATGTCCACGCTAGCTTTAAATTCGTGGCCTTGTGCAGCGTACGGATGGCAGCTCTGCACCAGTCGAACTCCCTCCGGGAGCTTACGGCTTTCGACGAGAAGTGCCAGCTGGTCGCAGGCGTGGTAGCGCATCCTGCCTTGCGACAAAGAGTAGTCCTTGCTTGCCTTCTCTACAGCCGCATGCATGGTCTCCAGCTTGGCCAAAGCTTCCTTGAGAAGCTCCATGCGAAGGTCTGCCAGGCAAGGGCCGACCTCAGTCACGATGGGCGATGTGAGCTCCCAGGCCCTGGCATCTTCTGAGCGAGACTGGTAGGCTTTCTTGATGTCTTCCAGCCAGGCTTCAAAGACTCTGCGAGGCGATGCACTGGGCTCAGTGGCCTGCTGCACAAGCGAGGCAACGGAGTGCAGCCCGAGGTTCTCGGCGACAAGAGCTTCGGTTTGGCCGCGGGTCAGCCAGGTGGATCGCCCGAGACATGCCAAGACCGAATGGAGCAACTTCGCTGCCTGCTGCGAATCACCAGAGAATGCATACTCCTTCATGACCGACAAGAGCACGACAAACAATGGCCTCTGCTTGCTCTTGTTGGCTTCTCGCGCTTCCAGCTCATTGCTGATCATGAGGGCAGTTGATTCTAGGTCTGTGCTCAGTTTGTCCAACATTTCCGTATTTATGCCACTTTGCATGGGCAAGATCGCCGCGGTGAAACCATAACGCTCTTCAGCTGAGCCTGCTCCATCCGTTTCGAAAGTGAAGGTCAAGGCATTTGCACCAGCAAAGTCGCAGACGGTCCGCCGCAGAACTCCTTCGCCTCCTCCGGCGCTGCTGTTCCTGATGACCTTGCCGTGGAGCCATGTACCGACCGTGAGGGAGTGATTCTCAGCAAGCTCTTGCTGTTCAACGTGGCACTGGCAGGGCTGAAAACCACCGTGAGCCCCTTGGCATTGGGTATGGCCACGACCTCCTGCATGCTTTGTTGGTATGGATGGCCGGAGGAAACGAAAATAGGCTGCTGGTCTCCGTGGTCGTCCATCCTGATTTGGCTCTTGTGCCAATGCTGAATCTCCAGAGTGAGGCGCTCGAGCTCTTCTCTCTGTTGTAACAAAGGCTCCAGCAATGTTTCATCTCGTGCCAGGAGCAGAAACGGAAGAAGATCATGCTGCATCTCGTCCAACTCAGCAACCTTTCGCAGGAGTGCAAGAAATTCAGGATGTGCAAAGGCCTTCTTGCTGGCGTCTCCGTGCTGTCGCAAGCTGTTCAGGAACAACATGCAGCGCTTCTTTTCTGCTTGTCGTTGGGCTTCATTTAAGGCATGCCTGGTCAGCCTCTGCAGACAGAAACCGAAGAACTGAAGGTGAAAGTCAATATCGGCGCTTCCCACGAGCATCTGGACTGCCTGGTTCTGGATACTTTCGTCTGAGGCATAGTAAGCGACCATCCTGGCAAGCAACACCAACTGGGAAGGCTCTACTTACTCTACTTGAGTCAGATTCTATAGCGGCATAATCTGAGGAGTGTTGGGAGCCAAGGCCCAAGGCAAGACCCAACAAAAGCTCGAGCTGGACGCAGACAGACCGCTAGACTCTGTTCAGAAATGACCCTTCAAGCCTGCAATGAAAACAGGAGTCAGCTGAGATTTCTGACTTTTAAAATCTGAAATCCCCGCATCCCATCCTGACTTCCGGCGAATCTGGAGTTGAAGCCGACGACCGAAGCAAGCGGCTTGCCAGTCTTTCGGCTGGGCGATACTGCAACACAGAGGAATGCACGTTGTGTACCAAGCCGCTCGCAGCCTTCACAACATCATCTCCCAAAGCATGGATATGGAGCAGCTCGGAAGGCATCACCCCGCTTTCCGCCGCGATCTTGCTTCGAGACATGTAGCACTCAGCACAGTAATCTGCATCACAGGCACGGCATTGCAGTCTGATCTCTTGGAGAGAGATGTCAGCATGCCGGTCGCATGCGTCACACGAGAAGCCGCTGCTTAAGACACGCTCCAGATCATGCCCGTACAAACACTTCAGCGGAGAGGCTCTGTCTAATGCCTTTTGCAAGTCTTGGCATTCCTCACATTGACGACCGATGACAGGACCGCACTTGAATGAGAAAGCACTGTCACAGCCACAGTAGCACCAACCCCACAAACCAAGTCGTCTGTCACCCGTCAATATCTCTGACACTTCCGGTGTATCAGACGGGACAAGTGGCATGTACTGCCCGGAGTTTGAACAGCTTGTACAAAACCATCCACAGCCACACTAAGTCGATCCAGACCCAGGTGGAGGTAGATCCGTGCTCCAGCTGATGGAGTGCCGCATCGTCTCCATGCCCTCAGCCAACAGCTGGTAGCGGTTGCTGAGAGCAAGCATGGGCTCTGCCGGAAAGCGTGGCAGGCAGCCATCTCGCAGCAGGGTCGAAACCTTTGAGAGGTCGCCGAGCACATGACTCAGTCGGCGATCCTTTGCTACATGCGTGAACTGGTCCCGCAGCAGCCTCTCAGCCCAGCCCATCATACCGGGAATCTCGGAAACAGGCTTGCAGAAGACAAGTTTGATCTTCGGGGCCTTGGATTTTCGAACATCGTGAACGAGATGCTTCAGCTGACCACCAAGAACTGGCTCTCCGTACCCAACAGACAGAATATCGCCGCCACCACACAGGTGCCAACCCTGAATTGCCTCGTTCTGGGACCAGGACTGTGGGACCAGGACAGGTTGCCTGTCGCTAGTGTGTTTGCTGACGTGCTTCTGCAGCTCGATCACTTGCAAGACAGGAAGGTTAAACTCTTGAAAATGCATCCGGTTCGCTTTGCCGTATACCGCATCAATGGCTGCCTCTACGATCAGTGACACCATTCCCACCTCAGTGCGAGACGGGCGAATACCCAACGAGTATTGGGTCTCACGCATCTCTTCACGTGCATCCTTGCTCAGCATCTCTGCATACTCCTGCGAATGCTTTACAACAATGAAATGTTGGTGGCAAGCCCGAAGCATGGTGTTCGCAAGGTGGAACTGAAAACGCCTGTCCTCTCGCCGCCACTGGCAACGCTGAGTGTGAAGCCAATAGGCACACACAGGCAAGGCGATGCTCCCAATCAGTCCGCCCAGAACCGTCACCAGTCCAACCGCTCCGGAGACGAAGTCGACGTTGGACAGGAGAGCTAGCGACAAGCCGTCCTCCTTCGTCCCTTCCTTCAGTTGCACGATGATCTCCGCCGCCATAGTGTTGAGGCTGAACGGTGAGGCGGCTTCGTTGAGGAAGGAACAGCATAGTAGCGACCAAGTGATGAGGAGCCAAAGGCACTTCTGGCACATGTGCGTGGCGAAATCCGAGGGTATGGAAGTAAAATCGCTCATGTCATCGTGCTCCTGGCTGGGCCGAGTGACGGCGCCGCTCCACAGCATCACCTGCCACGCAGGCACCACCAGCATTGCCAAACCCAAACCCAAGGCACCTGCCATCGAAGTCGCCATGACAAAGCCGATAGCTCGCAGGTAGAAGCCAGTGTAATCTGGCACACCGTCGCTTCGCGTCCAGGCCGCCCAACGTGCATGCAGCTGTTCGCCTTGCAAAGCCAGACCCCCACTTCGTTGAGACCACCGAGTGCTCTTGCTGCTGCTGGCTGTCTACCAGCTGGAAGGCGTTGTTGAAGTCGCCGCCCTCCAGATAGCGCCGGTACTGCCTGGACTCTTCTCGGCTCTCTCCGTGCAGGAGCTTGACAGTGTTGCCCCGGAAGCTAAGCTTTATGGCAGTGCGACTACCCTCCAAAGGCTCCCAGTCGCCCTCCAGCGCAAACGTTCCGACGGTGGTCGCCCAGAGCTCGGTGAAGCGGCGTAGGGAGGCCCAGCCGCCGCGAGACACCACGAGTGCAAAGACCAGCGCAAGGCTAAAGAGCCCGACGAAGTAGCACACCTTCCATGTGGTCACCACGCTGCTGCACCGGATGCAGACTGCCAGGGTACATGCGACCGCCAAAGCTTCGCTCAGTCGGAAGATGCTCACCACGCGCAGGCTGCGCTGGGCCGCGAAGCTCTTGCGGCTGTAGTAGTCGTTGTGGGGGATCAAGGGAAGGCAGCAAGGAACGACGTCGCCTCCGCATGGAATTTCTTCCTCAGCAGACAAGAGTTCGGCCGATATTGACACGCCGGTCATCACCGACTTCAGCGAGAAAAGCACCGACACCAGCAAGAAGCCCATATCCAAGGAACTGTTCAGCGGCACAGTCACCAAGCCGAAAATGCCCACAAGCAAGCTCAAGTAAGCTTCGCTGGCAGCTTCCCGGTATGCCTTCTCGTACAGCTCTGAGAGCAACATGCCCTTGCTCCATGATCCCCGGCATGCCTGGATAGTGTCGGATTGCAAGAAAGCTGCAAGCAGCTTCTGCACGTCCCAGGCACCTTTCCGCAAAGAGTCAATCCAAAGCATGCTGATCTGCATGCCAACTCCCACGAAGATGATTGTGGCAAAGAAGGGCTGGCCAGCGCGAAAGAAGATCATGCTCTGACCCACGTCCATTGTGGTATCAAACCAGATGCCGACCGTGGTTACAAAGACTTCTTTGTAGGCGACCCACGTGTCGGGGATGCAACCGAATTGGAACTTGTCCGGCTTCGGTCCTTCCACAGTGGGAACGGTTGCGTGCATGCTCAAAGTGTAGCCGTGAAGGATGGACAGAGCGCCGTACACAACACCCGCCGCAAGCGGAGCCCAGTCAGGTAGCCAGCCGAAAAGGAAGCTGGAGTATGCTTTGGAACAGGACCAGACCAAGCCATGCTTGGTGCTTAAGGCCCACAGGCATATCACCAGCAAGTTGATTAGGAAGAACACCAGCGAAGTGATCTTCGACATTATGGCTATGGAGCTTGTCTTCAAGCCATCTTGCACCATGTCCGTCAAGACGAAGCTGGCATAGAATCGATTTGTCCACCGCTGAGTCTGCTGCAGAGCATTCGACGCCGCTTCGAAGAACGCCGTTGCCAGACTGAGAAGCACGAAGAAGATCAGCAACAGCGCAATGTGGCAAGGCAGCATCGGCAACTGGTGCAAGTGCATCAGCACATGAAGCCAGGGCTCTGCCCAGCTGTGCTGCTGGAAGAGCAAATCCTCGTGGTCCACCCAACCAGCGGCCATGATAGCAGCTTGCAGGACGCAGCAAAACCAGCAGTGCAAGACGACGTAGACAGCGAAGAAGACGCCTTTGAGCGCCAGCGCGAGGCAGCCGACGGGCCGTCTAAAGCTTCCTGCATAGAAGCAGAAGGTCAACGGCGCTGGTGCTGCCTGTCCGGAAGGTTCCTCGACAGAGCTGTCTTCTCTCTCCTCCTCCAACTTGGCAAAAGGACCCTGCACCCTGCTGCGAGCGGCTTCGAAGGACTCGGGACGGATGCTGACGCCGGAGCCCCAGGTGTCGGAGAGCACGCCGCCCCCACAAAGCTCAAGGAATACCTGTGTTCCGGCTTCGGTCTCCTCATCTGCCTCGAAAAGAATGACGTCCGCTTTCTGTGTAATGGCCAGATCGATGGCTTTGGCAAGTTTCTGCAGCTTCTCGCCATCATCCACGGTCCTCGATTGAAGGCAGCAGTGGGAAGCCATGCTGCAGGTCACGACAGCCACGGCAAACAGCCAGATGCAGCTGTACCACTGCAACAGCGCATGCCAGCCGGGTGTGAAGGGAAAGAACCGAACTGCAAAGCTGGAGCTCATCAGCCGTCTGTGCCATTCACTCACGAAGCTTGCGAGGACGGCGTTGGACATGGCGTCGGAGCATTTCTGCCAACAAGGCTTGCCAAGCGCAAACGGCACGGTGTCCCTTGTGCCATTGACGAGGCGAGCACAGGCATCTTGCCAAAGAAACGGAGACCCCTCCGCAGCTCCGACGGGGGCATCTCGGAGGTGAGCATCGCGTCGCTCCCCTGCTAGCGAGACTGCCTGGCTCAGGCGCGCGGAAGAGATGGGCCCTGGATCTTGTGGGAAGCAAAGCAGGCAGAGCACTGCCGCGGCAAAGCAAAGAGCGGCCAGGACGTGCCATTTGGGTCGCGAGGCAGCTGGCGGAATCAAGAGCTCGTCTCGGAGATCCCAGTGCAGCCTCCAAGGTTGCCGCAGCCGCCACATGCTGTCGGGAGCCTACGCATTCCTTCAAACAGGCACTCTTGAGCCACAGCTCTGATCTCTTGCCGCTGAGTGGTGGGCTCTGCGTGCGCCTTTGCTCGGAGAAATGCCCATGATGGTGACGAACGCGTGCCTTTTCACCGCCGCATCCGTTGCATCCACTCTTCTGGCCTTGCGGGGTCCGTTGTTCTCTGGCTCCTTCTCTGGCTCCAGCTGTGAAGCCTCAGGGCCTTCCGCCTCAGCCGATGTCGGAAGCCGCATGCCCGACCCCCTAAAGCCAAGCGCCCCTCGGATCGGGACATCTGATAGGGCGAGGCAGTCCCAAACACGCAGAAGTCGCAGCAGTGAAGTTGCCCCCTTCTCGGCTGAGCTGCGGGCCGGCGCCTGCTGCAAGTTCTGGAAGCCCCTGGCAGCTCTCTGAGAACTCTGATGTCCACGAGAAATGCCCCATGCAGAGACGAGGTCCGTGCTTGTAGAAGCCGGCACTGTGGGAACGCGCCGGGTACGCCTCGGCCTGGCGTCTGCAACGAAACGAAGGAAACGTCGCGTCGAAGAGAGACTGCGCATGAAATTCTGAGTGCAGGCTTTGCTGTCGCAGGCCAAACTCCGCCTGCCTTGTAGGGCTCTCCGATGACTCCGCAGAGGCCTGCGGCGACGTGGCGGCGGCAGCTCGGCCCCATGGAAAGGCTAGTGGATTGGCGAGAAGCCATCGCAAGCGTATGCATGTGCGCATTGGGGGTGCACAGTAAGAGTCGGCAGTTGTCATGCAAGGTCCAGTCCCAGCAGACCTGCCATGGACTTCGCGGAGGCGAGGTCGCGGCTCAGGGTCTTCAAGCTGGTGCCCTGCACTCACACAAAACATGACAAGGCAAGGCCCGAACCCTCCCTAAACCCCAAACCCCAAATCCCTAAACGTAGACTAAACCCCAAACCCTAAAATCCCTAAAGGGGTTCGGGTGTTGCCGTTTCTTAGGCAGTGCCTTAAAGGAGGTGGGGACGAGCACGCCCGTGCCGGCCACGAGCATCTGACCCAGGACCCACTTCCTGACGTCCAAGCGGATGTGCCGTTTTGGGGGGCTCCTCATTAGAATTCTAACATAATTCTGGTTAGTATAGGTATAGTATAATTCCAGTATCAGAATCATAACCCAAAATTCCATTCTGAATGTGCTAAGGTCCGCCTTGCTGCCTGAAACCTTCTCAGGTACAGGTGCACATGCAGGGGCATGTACACAGATATTGATGCACGTATTGGTACATCCAACAACACATGCGCACATACATAAACAGATCCGTCCGTACCATGAAATGCATCCGTGCATGATGCATGCCTGCCTGCCTGCCTACCTGCCTGCCTGCCTGCCTGCCTACCTACCTACCCACCCACCGACCCACCTACCTACATGATCACACAAAAATTCAGGCACAGACTCTCAGGCACAAATACAAGTGTGGGTTTGCATTCGGACATTGCATGCTGGAGTTGCGCACCTGCGGGTCGGTGCGGGAGTGTGCGCAGGTGGCCGCAGGCACGAGGGGTTTGTAGGATTGTAGCATGCACGTCTGTCTGCTTAACTGATTTGCATGTTTCTGTTGTGTTGATGCACGGGTAACTCGTGTAGGTACACATGTCTTACATATCAGGTTTTGCTTGTTACTTGTAGTAGAAATGCATCTGGGCACTCCGGCGTGTTTTGGTAGTTGGCATTGGTGGCCACGGCTGTGCGCACCTTCCGGAATGTGCCCAACAACATGCCCACGCATTGAGATCTTTGGGGCTTTCTGGGCGCCAGACATAAGATTGGACCATCTCCTCGAAGCCCGGTGGCTCCCTCGAGCCTGAAGAGGCGGCATGGGCCAGGGACTTTCATAGCTCGAAACCCGGCCTTCACGACAAAAGATGCTCGGATTCCAGAGCGCACCCCTCCGGCAACAGATGAGACTGAGAGACTCAAATCAAAACACTGGCAAAGGAGCTCGCCCGCATCCCCGGATACAGAGACCCTAAAACCCCAAACCCCAAAACATGCGGAGCCGTGATCACCGTCATCAACTTTGCCCTCTCCTGGCGATCATCACCCCTGCGGGGCAGCCAGCTGCCGCGTCGGAGCCCTTGCCACAGTGCTTCCTGCAAAACAGTCAGAGTGAATGCATAAAAGGCCCATGCGGAAAGGTCCGATTTTATTGCCGGGTATTACTTGCATGCTTATCCCAAATGCTGTGTATACACCATGTGGGGGAGGGGGGCGGAATGCAAGGGCCTGTAGAGGGCTCCACATAATACTAAGCTCCATTTAGTCTTTAGAAGACGAGGCACCAGAACTCGGCGATTTGCCGACGATTGAAGAAGTCGCCGTTCGCCAGCACCGGAATCTGCACGGCATCCCACCTCAAGCAGGAACCAGTGTAGAAGCCTTAAATCCGAAAGCCATATACCGCACTCCCCAAACCGGTCACACCATAAAACTCTCAGCCCGAAAGCAATGAACGCCAACACCGCAGTTGCTTCAAGCGTTAGAATTACCAACCTAGATACACACACACACGCACCCACTCAGACAGAGCACAAAAGTCGCACATGTATATTTGCATGCTACATACACGACTGACACACGACGGACAAGCAAAAGCGCAAGCATCGCCTTACACTGACCTCCAGTTCAGGCCTACGCCTAAGTCTGGAAGCGTGAATTTTTGAGCGTCTCCGAGCCACAGTCGACAGAGCTCGTCCCAATGCGCAGGCTCGGCAGGGCGCTCCTGCCGCAGGCGCAGGTGCACCTCACGGAGACCCGCGAAGTCCGAAGTCCGCCCCGCGCAGAGAGCATTCATTGGAGTCGACCAAATAAGTCTCGTGGAGATGAAGATTGACGAAGCATCAGCTCGGTGAGACAGCGCAGGTGTCAACACCCCCAGCAACAGACCACTGAACTAACTCACGGCGGAGGCAACTTCAGCCAGAGGAACATCAAAACCAACACGTGCCCGCTTCCCCGGCGGCCCAGGCACGGTGATAGCTTCGGCGCCGCTGCGCTCACAGACCTGCATGAAGTCTCGCCTTGGTTGGGACCCGGAGACCGACTGACTCTCAGTTCCCTTTGCTAGTACACGTCCAGTGCTCAGCATACCCCCCCCCCCCTTGGATTCAAGAGGGCTCCCATCGAGCCACGTCTTCTGTGTGGAGGGCAGCATCCGGATCTTGCATGTGAGCGTCGTCTGCCTTGGCGTGCTGTGGAGCCGCATCGGATCAGAGCCGCGGCGAGATTCCGGCTTCAACAGCACAAGGCGGCGAAAGTCTATAGCAAAAAGGTATAAAGCCTTGCGCGTCAAGATTCACCGCACGTAACCTGCAAGTAAGGTGGCATTCGACAGCTGCTGTGGGTGCCTGAGGATGCCACGCTGGCAGCTCCCTCCGCAACGTCTTGAGGAGATCCGCCACCAGCTCCGGCCTAACTCAGGGGTTTGGATAGCTTCTCGGTGCTTTTCGGGATGAGCTCCTAGCTGGTCCAGCAGGGCCGCGCCCATGCCGCCCTTCACGCTGAAGGACTGAGCGCAGACAGGAGACGGCTAGGCCTATAGGCCGGAGCCGGCGACAAAACTGGCTGGCATTGGCTGGCAGCAAAGGCCTTGGGGCAGCCCATGTTAATGTCGATGCCCGACACCTGAGCAGCGCCGCAGCGGGGGGGGGGGGGGGGGGGGCGTGAAGGGGGGAGGAAGATCCAGAGCCTACAGGAAGCTCAATCAATTCTACCGAGCTCGGGGCATCCTTGCACACCGTCTGGGCGGCCTCTGCAGCGCCGTGGAAGAGGCAGAGGCAGGCAACGACAAGAAAAGACGGCTCCCGTGGCTGTGCCTGCAGCGCCTGCACGGGGCTGGCCTCGGCGTCGGCCGTGGCTCTCCCTCCCTTTACTCCCTCTCTCGGCATCTATACTCTCCTGTTCTTCTATGCACGAGGAGTCGGAGAAGCACCCGGCGGTGCCCAGCTGGAAGATCACCTTTTGCCTCTCACCGCAGCTTCTTCCGCTTCAAGGGGCGTCGCGCTCACGAAAGCGCAGGCCTCTCCTCTGCGCAAGTAGAGAACACAGTCGCCTGCCTCGGTGGGAATCCATGTATAGTACGAGAGCAAAGGAGAAGGAGAGGCGGCGTGTCACATGCTCTTTTTCGCGCTCTGGGTTCCAGTTGGATGCCTCCCCTCACTCCGGCGGAACGTTCTGGCCACGGAGGAGCCGCTTCAAGCGCTCCTGTCAGCACCGCAAAGACAAGCATCGGACAAGCAGTCGAACAGAAGTGCGTGCAGCAGCAGCAACAACAAAAACCACGACAACAACAGCAACAACAACAACATCATCGCCAGAACCAACAACAGCAACGGCAACGGACGACGACGACGACGACGACGACGACGACGGCTACTCGACCGTTGCTGCTGCTGCTGCTGCTGCTGCTGCAGCTGCGTTGTAGGTGTGCTTGAAAGTGCGACAGAGATGGATGTTCAACAGATTCAGATGGTGAGAGAGATAAGTCGCAGCCTCTTGGGAAAGTGTTGAGTGCCGCACACATCTTTGAAGTTTCCGTTGTTCGGCTTGGACCTATGCTGCTGCAGTCGTTGTCGTTGTCGTTGAAGTCGTCTTCGTTGTTGGTGGTGGTGTCGTTGTTGTCGTCGTCTTTTCGGTTCTGCGGCTGTGGCTGCGGCGGCTGGGGTAGGGGCGGGGCCGTGGCTGTGGCTGTGTGTTGTTGTCGTTGTCGTTGTTGTCGTTGTTGTCGTTGTTGTCGTTGTTGTCGTTATTGTTGCTATTGTTGTTATTGTTGTTGTTTTTGTTGTCTTTGTTGCTGTTGATGTTGGATGTTGTTGTTGTCGTCGGCGCTGGTGTTGGTGTTGGTTTTGGCTGGTTGCTGTTGTTGTGCGTTCTTGCTATTGATATTGCTGTTGTTCTTGGTCTTGTAGTTGTGGCTGTGGTTGTAGTTTCAGAGGTCGGCGGGGGCGATGGCGGGAGGCGGAGGAGGGAGGAGGAGGAGGAGGAGGAGGAGGAGGGAGGAGCGAGGAGGAGTTGCTGTTGCTGTTGCTGTTGCTGCTGCTGTTGCTGTTGCTGTGGTTGTTATTGATGCTGTTGTTTGATGTTGTTGCTGATGATGATGATGATGATACTGATGCTGATGATGATGATGATGAGGAGGAGGAGGAGGAGAGGAGGAGGAGGATGGTGGTGGTGATGGCGATGACGATCTATCCGATAGTGCTGCTGCAGGTGGTGATGATGAAGGTGGTGATGAGGAGGAGGAGGACGATGACGACGACGATGAAAATGACGGTGAGGAGGAAGAGGACGAGCATGATGTTGATGTCGCTGCTGCTGTAGTGACTGCTGCCGCTGCCGAAGCCGGTGCCGCTGCTGCCGCTGCTGCTTCTGCTGCTGCTGCTGCCGCTGCTGCCGCAGCCGCTGCCGCTGCCGCTGCCGCAGCCGCAGCCGCAGCCGCAGCCGCTGCCGCTGCCGCTGCCGCTGCCGCTGCTGCTGCTGCTGCTGCTGCTGCTGCTTGCCCGCGAGTC